GTGCAGTTCTTCCTCATTGTTCCCCCTTCCCTGGTCTCCGGCGTCCGGCACCAGATAATCGCGACGCTTGGGGCCGCGCTGCCCGGTCGGTCCTGCACGGAGGATATGCCCTACAGGTGAGAACTTACCTAGGGGGCGCTTTGCCGGGCTTGGAGTATGTCGGTGTCCACCTGCGGTGGAAGCAAAAACTTGCACTTGCTCCTGGGTGCTGGCGCTCGTCCTGGAGAGGCGAGTGACAGCGCCATGCAAGGCTGAGACCGAGCCGCAGGTCCCACGAGAAGAGGGGAGAGAGGGACGCGGGCTTCTTGGTCAGGTAAAGTGAGCTTGAGAAATGTTCAGGAACTGTTTCCAGAAGCGCCTCAACGTGTTCCCCAGCCAGCCACGCGGTGGCGAGTCAAATCCAGCCCCCCAGGGAGGACAGTGAGTTCTCAGCGCCCTCAGACTGCAGGCCAGCGGCCGGGATGGGTCTGTGCAGAGCACTGCCCGAGTTTGAACTAAAACGAGTTCAAATTCTGGCCCAGCCACGGTTGCCCTAGATAACATGATGGCCTCTGAGACTCAGTTTCTCCATCTGTAAAGTGAAGTTTTTCCTAAAAGCCGCTTCGAGGTTGTTCTGAGGCTTCCGTAAAGAAAGCCACGAAAGCCCTCAGCTGCAAGGCCTGGCCGGTGCCCGGAAGCACCTGGAAGGCCTCTGGCTTTATCACTGTTGCCATTAAGTACATTATTTGTTCTCCAAGACCATCCCGCCACATCCGTATCACGGGACCCATTTTTTTTTTCATTTTTAGTATGATAAGCATTATTCAAGTGTACTTTACAAAAGTTTATTTTTATGTCATTTTGTACATTTTTTTTTCCATCTCAATCGTAATCCCCGCGGGTTTCCCATCACCAAGTCACCACACGGGACCCATTTTAACCGAAAGGAAAATCAAGGCATGTCAGTCACATCAAAATAAGTTTCGTCTTAAGTGCTTTGGAAAGACTCAAACCCAAAGAAGAATAGGTGCCTTAAATATATCAAATCAAAAGTTTGTCTTAATTCTTTAACCTTGAAAAGCTGAAAATATTAGTCAAAACATCAACCAGCACATCTGTGTCGGGTTTTTGGGATGGTTGCTTGGTGTGGTTTTGTCCTTTTATGCTATTTGAAAGAGAAAGTCAAACCCCACAGAAATGAGAAAATTAGCAGGCTGTATTTGCCAGTCTTTCGCAGTTATGAGGTAAATGCCATTTTATTTCTCCCCACGCTCAACACACACACACACACACACACACACACACCCTTTTTCCTCCTCCTCATCTTCCTCTGCTGAATAGTTTTAAAGTAAACCTCAAACCCCAGAAGATTGAGCATGAAACAAGTTAGTCAGGACCAGTGGCTTAACCTGTCAAACTCTGCTACCCAGTGATTCTTTTAACCACATCTTCCTTCTTGACTTTGTCTTGTTTCATATTCCAAGGAGGTGTGAGTTATAAGAGAAAGATGCTTACTTTTCTCAGAGAAAAGCCTGCTCCCCTTAGCTCCTGTGGTTACATGGGCTCAAGAGATCCTCTCCTTACCTGCCTCTTCAGGGGAGCTTTTTCCTACCTGGGGCCATGTCGGCTGATCTGTGTGGGTTTCCAGGCAAATGTAGAAAGGCTTTCAAAGAAATTATTTCTCACTTTTTTTTAAAATTTATTTTATTTTTTAAAAAAGATTTATTTATTTGTGCATACAGAACTGGGGTACAGGCCAGAGGCTCAGGGATGGCGAGAGGCTTCACCAGAGACAGAGTGGGGCGCAGAACAGACAGATCGACGAAGTACACCGCTGAGGGGAGCAGCGGGCCGGTCAGGAGAGGTCTGCCGCGCCATGTGGTCACCTCCCGGCCAGGCTGGAATCAAGCTCATGCGGAAGCGGCTTTAGATTCTCAGTGCTGTGCTTTAACCCGCTGTGCCACCAGGGAGGGCCATTTCTCACTTTTCTTTCCTATTTCCCTCCCCTCCTGACTGCCTTCACAGTTCTCTAAACTTTTCCGGGAGAGGAAAATGGACACGTGTCAGGTGAGATGCCTGCTCATTATGCTATTATTCAGTGATATACATGACTTTTTGCATTTTTAATGCCCATGCTTTTGTGACAGTTGTTTTTCTTAATTTCTTGCCTTTTTTCTGCATTATTATTTCACTTTTCTTTCTTCTTTCTATGTGACTTTGAAAGTCTGCAATGTATTTTCATTCTATCATGGATTACCACAGATATGTTTAAGACATACATAAACATGTCTTTCTATCAATATCAGGAATTGTTTTCAGTACTATCCCCTAACCAAGATATACTCTCTCCTCACCCCATGTTGTGGAAGTCAGCTAAATGCTTTTCTTTTTCAATTTGTCTTTTCTTTTTATGTAATGAATGTCATTTTTGGAACACTTTGTTAACAATTGCATCATATCTTCTAGCTACTTGAAAAATAATTATTTCAATTGTAATATACATCTCCTGGTTATTTTTGCCATTCCAAGCCTGAAGACGGTGACTAATTACAATCGTTGGTCAGCTATAACATTACCTACAACTTGGGGGTGCTTATATGTTCCAATCACTATTAAATTCCTTAGCACCTGTAGTTCTTGTAACAACATTAGGAGGTAGGTATGTTTATTACACCCTCTGTACTGAGCCTTTATGTAGCAGATTTATGAAATTTCTCAAGAACCAGTAGCTGAAATCGTTCTAAAGATTCATCGTTTGAACTTTATCTAGATGGAGACCTCAAGTCCACCGAAAGTTTTCCACTTGCAATGGGGACTAAGTTATCATCTGCTCACACTCCAGCCTGCCTGGGAACTCAGAATAGGGGATCTCTGAGGTAGCAGCATGCTGGATGAGGTAAAACAATGTATAGCCTGGGCCGGACAGGCAAAGGCTAAAGCAGATGTGTTATATATGGGAAGTGCAAATTGAATTGGGTCCCTGTATTTTCCTTGGCTGAGTCTGGCAGCCCCGTTCAGGTAGAAAGAGGCTCTCTGCTCACTGTCGGGGCTGGGAGGTTGGTCCCAGCTCACCCAGAGGCCCTGACGTTGTCTCAGATGATTCCACCGCCAGAAATCACAGTATCTGAAAATATCTTTCATTTTTATCACTTATTTAACCTGATGTAATTTTTCAGTTCTGGTACATTTTTGTCAAGGGCCTGACCTGTGGTGTATAAAGAGTGTATTAGTGAAGTAGACTAGAGTGTATTAGTGAAGTAGACTAATTGAACTGGAAAGTATGGCCATTGATGGACTCGGTCTCTGCCTTCTGTGTGGGCAAGTTCCCTATCCGATGGCTTCAGGTACCACTGCGATGTCCCTGATTTCCCAACATTTCTCGCTGTCCTAGCCCTCCTGAGCCCCGCGACCTTGCATCCAGTGGCCATGGCATCTCCAGCTGTTACCCACGCCTTTAGGGTAGCGTGCCAAGATTTACCCCGCCCACCCTCTGCCTGGCTGGCAATTTTTCCTGCTTTGTCCACTGATCCAGTATTGACCCAGCCACTCTTGGCCATCAGCTCATTCCATCACTACTTACTCTCTCACTCCACTTCAAGTCAGCTCCTGCTGCTAAGTCCCGCTGCCACTGTGGAAATGGGTGGTCGTCTCCTATCAGGCTGCTGCTCCCTAACGGGCTTCCTTGGGCTCAGCTGTAGATGTCTGGGACCAGATCATTCTTGTCGCAGCTGCCCTGTGCTTCTGAGCTTGCTTGCAGCACCCCGGGTCACTCCACCCTTCTCCAGCAGCACCCTTTCCTCTGGCCTGATAACCAGAACTGTCGGCAGATGTCAGCAGATGCACCAGGCGGGTGGACCCGTGTCTTGAGAACTCCTGCTTTAAAGCCACCTTCTCTCTGCTGCTAGAACACTAGTTTCAGCCTATTCCTCTGGCCATGTCATTATGCCAGTGTTCCCATCGCCTGGAGGTCATCTCCTGAGTAGGGGTGTCCACCCCTGAGAACTACACCAGGCGATCAAGCTGGGTGTGATATAGAAAAAGAACATTCACTACCTGGCAGTGGGGAGCCATGACCACAAAGGTAGTTTCCCCAGGGGAGACTCCCCCATTGCACTCTGGGTGGGGGGAACTTACCTGCTTCCTTTTTGGCAGCGGGGGTCTGTGTTCACACTCTCCCCTGGCAAGGAAAAAAAAAGTATTAGAACACCCTTCCTATATTAGTTTTATAGCTCAAAAATTAAGAATGTTAACCGTTCCTTCTGGTGTGTGGCTAGAGCCATGTGTAACTTATAAATAAATACACTAAGGAAATTTTATTGATGGGTGGTTAAATAGTTGGAGAGTGTTTACCTCTGGTCTCTAAGAGAAAGTCCAAAATGGCCCCATGTCTGACCCCAAGACCTCTACTGCTCTTTACCTTCTCCATGCCCTCGCCAGGCACCTGCTGTCCCTGGGTAAGGCTATCTTATTCTTCCCATTTGATGTTTCTGGACTTCCTGTTGCCCCATGTCCACACAAAACTCGCAGCCGGTGTGCAGTCCGTGTCTCTGTCCTCAAGGAAGTCAAACTAGAAATAAACCAGAAGCTTTGTTCTCCGCTCCTTTGAGACCTGATGCTCCTTTGTCCACACCTTCTTTCTCAGTTCCCCCAGTTTACTGTTGCATGTGTGTGTTTAAACGCAGGGTGCCCTCATCCATCTGTAAACACCTTAAAAACAAGGCCCGTGTCTTTCACCTTAGTGTCTTCTGAAGCAGAACAGCCCTAGGCCTGCAGAACTCAGGTTGCTTTCTGAATGAATAAGTGAATTAATGACTACACAGAGAGGTAGTCTTTCTGTATGATGCCTCTTTTCTCCCACAAAGTCTAACATAAAGGAAAGTACTTCTTTGACATCCTTTGTAACTCTTCCTGGTACACTCTTAAGAGTTAACACTGTAGGAATTAGTCCTTGCATGTTTTCCTGTGCTTGGTGATCTTAAAAATCCTTGAGACTGAGCAGGATTGGGCTGTTACAGGGATCCATGTGGTTTAAGGATATGTCCGTGGACTTCACCCAGAAGGAGTGGCTGCTGCTGGATCCGGCCCAGGGAGGTGATGCTGGAGAACTACAGGTACCTGCTGTCCCTGGGTAAGGCTCTTGTGCAGCTCTCCCTGGCTACCTCAGGGACCAGGTGTTGTAGAATGCAGGGAGTGTTAGGCTTGGGAGTTTGGATTCAAGTTCCCTTTGGGGGAACTTGAAAGGATGCGCACACTCACCTCACTGGTGCTGATTGAACAGCTCCTGAAGCTTCTCCCTTTGGACTCCTCCAATGGTCTGACCCCTAGCAGCACTGCCAAGGCCCATGTCATTTCCCACAACAGGGCGATGTCACACCAAACCTGAGCTGATATTCAAGCTGGAGCAAGGAGAGGAGCCGTGGATACTAACAAGAAAGCTCCCAAGTCAGGCCCATGCAAGTGAGTGAATAAGGTCAGAAATAAGGTAACTGCTGGAAAGTAGGCCCCAAGTCGCCAGATCAGGGCAGGTGTCTTTTTTTTTTTCTTCTTCTTCAGATTTTATTTATCTATTCATACAGAAATGGGGTACAGGCCAGAGGTGCAGGGGCGGTGAGAGGATTCACCAGAAACAGAGTTGGGGGCAGAACATGCAGATCAACTAAAATACATTGCTGAGGGGAGCAGCAGGTGGGACAGGCGAGGTATCCTGCACCATGTGGGTCTCCTCCAGGATGGGGATCAAACTTGCACTGCAGTGACCACAGCTTGGATTAGCTTCTCAGTTCAACACTCCAACCCGCTGAGCCACCAGGGAGAGTAGGCAGTTGTCTTTTACATGTGCTCTGGAAATCCCCTCTAGAGGCTACAGACTTGTAAAAGTGACTAAAGACAGGTTATCATCTCATGCATCAAACTTCCAAATAACCATCCTCATGGGTAAATGCCCTTTATTTACTGTTTGACTTTTATAGAGAAGTTTGTTCAGTTCCTCTATCGCTGCCTCCCTCCTCATCATCTCTGCTTTTCTTTCTGGTTAGCAATGGACATTGTTCCTCTTCCCTCCAGTGCCAAACACTCTGTCAATATGCATTTATTAATGTATATGTTTATTCAACAAAGATGCCTAGAGCGCCTGCCAGTCACATTCTAAGCACAGAAGACACAGAAGCAAAGACTCCCCTCCTGTCAGAAGCTCCAGAGAACAAATAAATGCATGTTATGTCTGGTAGCAACCAGAACTCTGAAAAAGCAGTCAGATGAAGGAGAGAGACTGACAGGGCATGGTGCTTTTGGGAAGCTCTTTGAGGAGGTGAGCATTTGCACAGGGACAGCGAAATGGAGTTTTTAAAAAAAAATCAAGGCACGGAATGAGCCCTGGGTTATGTGAGAGTTTCCCAGGTCGAGGGAACAGCAGAGGCCTACCCTCCAAGATGGGAGTGTGCTGGGAATAGTCGGGAAACAGCCAAGAAGTCAGTGGGACCAGAGGAGGCAGGGCTTATTTGGATTGCTAAAGCCTGGATCCTGCTCTTAGTGATATCCCTGGAAAGTCAAGACCTGCTCCTTTACAGGCTCTGTTCGGAGGTCAAAAGGATGCAGAATCTAGTGAGAGACACGCCGAGAAGGAGCACCTATTGCCACAGGGAGAACCAGGGTGCGGGGTCTCCCCAAATGAGCTGTGTTGCCCCAAAACAGAGGTGGAAGTGCAGAATCAGCTTTGCCCCTTCTTTTCCTACCAAGTATCTCAAGAAAAATAAAAGTAAATATCAGCTCCCTTTTCAATGGTAGTTTGTGGCAGCTAAAAGCTCACTTTTTTTTTTAAAGATTTATTTGTGCATACAGAACTGGGGTACAGACCAGAGATGCAGGGGTGGTGAGAGGATTCACCAGAGACAGAGTGGGGAGCAGAACAGGCTGACTGATGAAGTACACTCCCGAGGGGAGCAGCGGGCAGGTCAGGAGAGGTCTGCCACGCCATGTGCAGGCGGGAATTGAACTCATGTGGAAGTGGCTTTAGCTTCTTAGTGCTGTGCTTTAATCCACTGCGCCACTAGGGAGGGCCCCACTTTTTTTTTTAAGTGGAAAAATAGCCAAGAGCAATGAAAGCATAAACAGAGAGCCTCACACAAGCCAGTGCTGTGGAAATAGCATTGTTAGAACATACTGTCCAGACAGTATCTACTTGCAGGTTTTGCCACGGATGGAACTCAAAAGAGGTTTTTCTAACCTCCTGCATCTCTGGCCTGTACCCCAGTTCTTGTATGTATAAATAAATAAATCTTTTTTTAAAAAAGAAAAGAAAAGTGAAATTAAAACTATCATGACATCGCACAATCCATTGATAAAGTAAATCATTAAATTGCAGAATGGAAAAAAGAAGAAGTTAGAATACGTGAAGTGGAGAAAGGATACCCTACTGCCTGGCTAAGGTGTAGGGAAGAGGAGGAAATAGTTCTAGCGTCTGATTTGCCGCCAGACCTAATGGTTCTCTGATACTTCCTGTGATCACCCTTCAGTCTGCTTTGTGTCACTACCCAATGTCTCCCGTCTCCATCCCATTTTTTGATACCCTGATCCAAGGACCATTTATTTCTCTGGCATCTTTTATTCAAATTCACCATCCCTTGTATCTTATTTCAAACTTTGTACCCTTTAAGAGTGATATTTGTAACAATACAAAGCTACTTGTATTCATTTTTAGCTTTCCAATCCTTTTAAAAATTGTTTTCTGTCTTTTCATTTGACCAAATTTAAAGACTAGAATAAATATTTGCTTACAAGTTGTTTCAGCTCAGCAGGCTATGTTTGAAACCCAAGAATCAGCTCAACGTAGTGCATCTGTGTGTGACTCTATTCCTAAAATATGTTAGCATTTATAATGTATGCTAAACTTTCATATTTCTAGAAATCCAGAAAATAAATAACATGAAAGGGGAAAGCCAAGAAAATGAAGATGAATATTTGAGGCAAACTTTATTCATCAATATTTGAGACAAAACATTGCTGAAGGAGAGGAGTAAGGTCTTGGAAGAAGCATTTAATATAGCCATAAAACCAGTGCCTTCAATAGCATTTGGAAGAAGCTTGAAAAGTGTTTCAGAGTTAATTATTAGTAATAGAAGCCATGTCAGAAAAAAGTCTGATGGTTTCAATGAATATGAGCTCGTTGATAAGAAAACTCATATAGAGAAAAATCCCTGTGGAAATGAGCAAAAGAAGAAATCTCAGTCATAATGAGGATTTTATTCAGCAATGGAAGGATTCAGCTTTGGATGAAACTTTTGAATATAATAACTGAGAAAGCCTTTAACAAGAAAAGGACCCTTGTTTTATGTAAGAGAGATTACACAGGAGAGAAAGTCCCCAAAGGTAATGAGTCTGGGCAAGCCTTCTTTCAAGAGCTAAAGCTCAATACGTGTCAAAAACCACTTAGGGACAGGAAACCACATAAATCTAGTGAAAGTAGGGAGTCCTCACAGGAATGGAGTGAATTTGGAAAATCCTTTAGCAATAAGTCAAACCTTTCTCAACATCAGACAATACACACAGGAAAAAAACCTGGTAAGAGTGAAGAAATCTTGCATAAATCATACCACATTCCATGTGAGAGAATTCATGCAGGAATGAAAATCTGTGATTGTAATACATGTGGGGAAGTCTTCCACGAAAAGCCATGCCTTACTCAACATCAGAGAACTCATACAATTGAAGGACTCAGTGAGTGTGTTAACAGTAGTAAAGCCAGAAAGCAGTTGCAACTCACTTTAAGTCAGAGAATGAATACAAGAGAGGAAAACTTTAGAGATAATAAAGGTGAGGAATCTCCCTGTGAAAAACTGAAACTCACTCAGCAACAGAGAACACACGTGAGAGGGGGAAGTAACAAGTGTAATGAACGTGGAAAAGCCTTAAGTAAGTCGCGCCTTCTTCAAAATCAGAGCACTCACAAAGGAAAGAAAAGCTATGACTGTAATAAATGTGAGAAGAGCTTCCTGAAGAAAACACACCTTTCTCACCATCAGAGTACACATGCAGGGAAAAAGCCCTATGAGTGTAATGAATGTGGGAAGTCCTTCTTTGTGAAGTCCAACCTGACTGAACATCGGAGAAGTCATACAGGCGAAAAACCTTATGGATGTCATGAATGTGGAAAATCCTTCTGCCAGAAGTCTGCCCTCACGGTGCACCAGAGAACTCACACGGAAGAGAAACCATACAAATGCAGTGAATGTGGGAAAACCTTCTGTGTGAAATCAAACCTCACTCAACATCAAAGGACCCACACAGGTGAGAAACCCTATAAATGTAATGAATGCTAGAGATCTTTCTGTGTAAAATCCAACCTTGTTGTGCATCAAAGAACTCACACAGGAGAAAAACCTTACAAATGTTCTGAATGTGGAAAAACCTTCTATGAAAAGTCAGCCCTCACCAAACATCAGAGAATTCACACGGGGAAAAACCCTATGAGTGTAATGAATGTAGAAAAACCTTCAGTCAGCGGTCAGCCCTCACCAAGCATCAAAGAAAAACACACAAGAAAAAAAAATCAACTCCCCACAACTCTCTCCATGTACAGAAGACTGCACCTGAGTCAAGCTTGTAGAACAGTAGCAAAAGTACAGGGTAGAAACAGTAAAATGTCAGCACTTGTGAGAAAGCCTTCATCAGCAGGTTGTAGCTGACTGGAATTAAAGGACAATGTAGGGCCTCCCTGGTGGCGCAGGGGTTACATCTCAGCGTTATCGCTCTTCTGCTCCAGTCAGAAATCCTTCTTAGTCAAGTTCCTTGCAGTTTTGTTCCCAGGGCCAGTACTTGGACCATGGAGCTGTGCCGTCCACCCTACTAGCTCCAGGCAGAGTGGCAGGACCTTGCTCCCCCAGATGGAGCCACACACAAGCAGAATGGGCTGCTGCACTACGTTCCAGATGACTTCCTGCACCCAGACGTGTCCGTGGAGACCACCTGGGGGAGCCGAGGCTTCTCCCCCACCCAGTCCCTGCTGAGGTGCTAACAGAGGCACTGAGTATAGATTCAGGACTGGGATACCACCTGGTGGTAATGGGGTCACCCACACCTCGAGGTGTCAGTGGAGGTGATAGGGAGCACTAACCAGGTGCTCCTGCCCACCGCCCAGGCCAGGGAGGGACCAGCAACCTACAGGAGAGGCAGAATACCCCCAACCCCAGGTGTCTACAGAGGGCTCCGGAGGAGCTGGGTTTCTGTGCCTGGGGAATGAGATGATGCCCCCTTTACATAAGACCTGGAGTTTCTTGACACCTCAAATGTTCAGGCTGTGATTTTAAACCATCCTAGCAAGAACCAGGAGGGCTTCCAGCTGAATGGAGAGATGATCACTAGATACAGCGGTTTGCATTATTTAACCAAGTGACAGTGACGTTTGAATTATTTCACAAAGATTTTAAAGAAACCATGATAGCAGTGCTTTGATGAGCAATTCAAAACACACTGAAAACAACTGAAAAAAATATGAGCATAGAAATAGGATATATAAAGAAGAACCAGATGGCAACTTTAGAGCTTAGCTGAGATGTCTTTTTTAAAGTAACTGCATGGGTGAGCCAAGCAGAGAATGAAAGGGGCAGAGAGATGAATCCATGATGTGGAGATAGACAATAAATTGCCAGATCTGAGTAACCCAGAAAAAATAAAACGGAGGGAGGGGGGCTGTGAACAGAGCCTCAAGCACCGTGGAACTATAACAAAAGGTCTAACTTCATGTCCTCGGTTCCAGAAAGACGAGAAAAAGAGGAAGGGCTGAAACATTGAAAGAAACAATGGCTTACTCCCCAAGTTATTCTCTGGAATAAATGTGGGGATTCAAGAAGAGAAAAGAACCCCCAGACAGAATAAACTAGGAGAAATCTTGACCAAGATCTATCACAGATAGACTTCTGAAATCTAAAAACAGATTCCCCTCCCCGTCAAAAAAGAGAGATAGGAAACTCATAAAAGCAACAGTATCATAGAGGGCAAATGGTTCGAATGACAGTGGGTTTCTCATCGGAAACCAGGGAGGCCAGAAAGATCGGCAGAACTTTTGTTCAAATGCTGCAAGGGAAGGACAGCCCATCAGAACCTCACCGGGGAAAAGTCCTTCAGGACTGGAGAGTCAAGACGTTCTCAAAGGAAAACTAGGAGAATCTGCAGGTGTTTCCTAAAGAACAGCTAAAAGGAGGCCTGAACAGAAAGGAAACTATTTTTAAAAGACACATTAGTGCCTCAGAAAGGAGGAAAGAACACAACAAGCCGTTGCAGAGGTTAAACAAAAACGAACCTCCCTTCTTTTGTGTGCTCTAAATTACCCTTGACAGCTGAAGCCAGAAATTACAACAGTGTCTGATACAGTTCGAAGTGTGCGTAGAAGAGGTATTTATGACAATACTGCAAATCTGGAGAAGCCTCAGGAGGTGCCCGGAAGGTCTCTGCTTGCTCTCAGTGATAAGCAGCTGGGTGGATCTTTCTTTTTTTTTTTTTTTTGGCCTAGGAACAAATATGATCAAAGATGTGTGAGATAGCACAGTCAGAAGATATGACAGAAAAGGTTTCATTTCCTTCCCAGCAAATTGATGGCAAAAGAACCAGAAGCACAGCCCCTTCCACCACAGCTGGGTGGCTGATGAAGGGAAACCTTGCCTGACCAGGAGCAATCAGCGCAGGTGTGCTTGGACAGTGCTGCAAAAAATTAAAGATTGAAATGAGACACATCACTTGCCACCACCGTGGCCCGAAACATAATAAACACCACAAATAAAAGGTAAAATTCACATAAATGCGGCATGTGTTCGTTTGGCCGCTGATCTATGACCTTAACAACACATCTTGTTTTTCTGCCAATAAAATGTTTTCCTGTTGATTTTGTCTTGTTTTTCTAGAGATTGTTTCACAGAAGTGGGGTTCCATGGAAAAATGTGCATGTTAATATTATTCTTTGCTTCTTATCACAGCGTTTGCTGCTGGCCAAGATAGGCTAAGCCCTTGGCCCTGAGTTCCTCAGATTCTTGGCCACCCAATAAACTTGGAAGCACCCACCTGGGCCCCAGGCACCTCCCGGTGGGACCTGAGGAGGGTGGGGTGTGGGGGAGAGGAGACGCCCAGGCTGATGTGCACCCCAGCGCCTCAGTACCTGGTCGGCCCCCAGTCACCCCTCCTCCACCCTGACTTCTAGGCCCAGTACGTCCTAAGCTTCTGCCACCAACCCCCCCACGCCTGCTTGTCCCTAAACTTCCCTCTGTCTCAAGCTGCACCAAAGCCCACAAGAACCTGTCCAGGGATCCCACATGGGAGAGTAAGGATTCGGGATTCAGCGGAACTTGGCTTTGCCACTGACTCAATTATTAAACCCCAGAACCTCAAACTGGAACCGAAGCTCGTGGACGACGTGTTGTGGACTGTGGGAAAGAGCAGCTTGAATGAATTGGGGCCCTTTGATTTAGTGGGTGTGTTCCTGATTTAGTGGGTGTGTTCCTGAAGTGGCCGGCAGAGGGCGCCGGTCGCCCAGCAAAGCCGCCGCCGCCTCAGCCCCTCCCTCCCTGCCCGCGGTCCGTTTTCATTAACCCGCATTCATGTGGAGAAGCTTAGGTGTGTCACCACACTTTTGCAGAAAAGCAGATCAAATCACTGTAATTAAAATACCCCCTTTTCTCTGTCTACCTTAATTTTTTTTTTCTTTCTTATGGGAATAGGCGTGCATGCTCAACCAGGCAGCATTGCCCCTAGGGAGTGAACATTCTTAGGTATCCCCATGATTGTGGCCCTGCAGACAGAGGCCCATGGGCTATGGACAGATATATGGTAGCGCTGTGCTATGCAGACTCACAGAGAGGGGACAGTTAGAGGGAGAGGCTATAAACACTGAGATCAGAGAATCAGTCAAGAGGAGACTGTAGTCCGAAATCTAAAGTTAGGATGTCCTAGAATTTGGGGGTGCTGTCTGACCCCAGCAGTCCCTAAATTCCTCAATTGAGCCCGACCTGTAAAACAAACTCCCGAGGCTCCACCCACCTTCCTTCCTGCCTTGCCACCTGCTACCCCCAACGCAGTTTTCCACACCTTCACTCCTAATCACCAAGCTGCTCTGGGTCAGCATAGTTAGCATTTTTCAGAAAGTGTTACCTAAATGAAATCAAACACAGGCATGCTTTCTTTTCTGGCTTCTTTCACGCAACATAATTAATTTGAGATTCTTCTGTGTGGTTGTAGCTAGGAACGGTTCACTCCCATCTGAGCCCCGAGAGGACTAAGATCATTTAAGAGCAAGAGTTGGGGTGACCACACCAGGCTGCAGCAGAAGGGACAGAGCTGAGGGGATTCTGGTGCAGGCAGCTGAGAGTAGAGGTTTTCAGCTGTCCAAGCTCTTCACCATCTGCCTACCTGCCCAGAACATAAGAACAATTACCGTCTTCCACGTGTGAGCTGCTATCTCAGGCTTCAGTTACGAGCAGTTCTGGGCGTCAGTCAGTTCTCCTAACAACGGCCGGTGCCCACATTTGGTTCTTCAGTCCTCTGTTGCAGCCTTTGCGTTTTAATAAGACAATTCAGCCCATTTGAGAATAGTGTGGAAATGAGCGTCCCTTCTTTTATTCCTCCATCTTCGCTCAGGTTTCCTGTTTACTCCCCTTTGCTATTTCTCGCTTGCTTTTTCTTCTTCTTGCAGCCTTGATCATGTTGCTGTCTCTTTTCTTTAGGATTTTGATTTTCTTTTCTACTTCGCTGTTTGCTAGCAATGACCTTTTCTTTTAACATCTAGAATAAAACACACAATTGCAATGATAGAGTTTTCCATTCTATGAAAAATACCATCTAGTCCCCACACTATACTGGCCTGTTTGTAATAGTCTCTTACACCCCCATTATCCTAGCCCCCAAAGTGAGTGAAATTCTTCTCGGTCTCCCCCCGGCCCTCCCCAAACACAGACTGAATGCTCTCGGCACCAGCGCCCCGAATTACTATTACCTTCCCGTTGTGATGGCTTTTCTCTGAGAAATCTGTAAATACCATTACATCACTGTTTGCTTCCTGTGTTGCAGATGAGAAGCTCCATGGCAGTCACATTGTTCTTTGTTACGTATTTTCTTCCTCTCTCTCTTTTTAAAGATTTATTTATTTATGCACACAGAACTAGGATACAGGCCACAGGTACAGGGGTGGTGAGAGGACTCACCAGAGACAGAGTGGGGCGCAGAACAGGTGAATGTACTGAAACACACTGCTGATGGCAGCGGGCGGGACAGGAGAGGTCTGCCATGCTGTGTGGGTCAGCTCCCGGCCTGGGGTCGACTTGTGCTGCAGTGGCTGTGGACAGCATCATACTGCTGTGCTTCAACATGTTGTGCCACCAGGGAGGGCCCTTCTTATTTTCTCTTTCTGGAAGCTTTAAATTTATACTTGAAAGTCAGTCCTTTTATTCAGGACATGTCTAAAAGTGAGAATTATTTTTTGCAAGTTCTGGGTGGCATTTTGTGTTATTGTTTGTTTCTATTGTGAGTTCTCTAAGTTCAGTGAAACCTTCATTTTTAATAGAAGTAATTTTTTTTTAATTCATATAGAACTGGGGTACAGGCCAGAGATGCGGAGGGTAAGAG